CTTAAATCTCTAGGTAACATGAGTGAATTATTAGCATGACATGTCATACATGAATCAACATCATCGGTCATACACATCGCACCTACCTAAGCTTTACAACAACCTCACGCGTCATGTTTCTACAAAAAGTATCCCTGAACAAAGTTCCCACTCTTTAAACAAGGATGGTTTTTTGGAGGATCTTTAAACAAGGATGGTTAGTCCAGGCAAAAAAGGACCTTTAGAGCAATATCTAGTTGTAGCCCATAAGATAGCCTTTTTTTGGCTCCAATTTCTGAGCCCAAAATATCACATCCAACTCCAACAATAGCCTATATTCCAGAACCCTAATTTTCACATATGACATGTCGGCAAACCCGGTCACCTGGGTCGCGGGTCACATGTAAACCCATTGGCATGCTTGCCCGACCCGTGGCCTGCCAGGCCCGACATGTCGCCCGCCTGGGGCCATTCTTGGGCCACGAGGCTAAGCACGCGTGCCAGCATGACACGCTATGACCCATTTCTTTTTGAATTCTTTTTATATATGGCCTAGAAGACAACCCGACATGCCAAAATGGCCCAAAAAACAGTCCATAAGGCCTAAGCATATGGTCCAAACATGTCAAGGGGCTAGCCGTTTACCTGTAGTGTCGTGCATGGGCCTGGCGGAGATACAAAGGCTGGCATGACATGTATACTAAACGTGTCATCGGGGGCCGTGGTGTCCTAGGCACGTTTTGCCCTGGGGTCGGGCCGTGTTGGCCCAGGTGGCCAAGTCTACATGTGGGCCTGTTTTGTTCCCTTTGTTTTCTTCCATCTCCTTTCACACATCTCCTTACTTTCCGCATCTCGCCTATGGACACAACCTGCTTGAGCTCCACCCATCTGTAGTTGCATCCCTCACTGCTGGCTAATGACTGTAATCGTCGTCGTGTGCCCTTGGGTTGTCGCCCACATGTATGTTGTAGACAACAGTCGTCATGTGCCCCTCCTTTTCTACCCGCGTGTGGTGTCGTGACCACCCCCGCTTGCATGCCTAGTGTCGTGACTAGTGGCCTCCCCTCACCGCCAAACTTTTTCATGCGACGGGAAGCTCCGAGTGGCCACCGTTGGGGCAGATCCCCTTGTTGCAATCGTTGGTATCAACAAAACGCAACAGCATCCAACTGCATCAGCCCACACCCACCAGTGGCAACCTCCCCCGGGTAGAAAAACAATAACGCTGCCATGGCAACGCTTTGCTGTTGGTGGCGTTTTTGGTTGCCATGGCAGCATTACATAGATAAATAGATAAGTCTTGCAACAATATTTTTACAGTACATTGGTGACACAAAGGGATAATTACTTTTATTGGAAAGGTTTCATGACAAAAGATTCACATTGTTTCCATGGGCATGAAAAGGAGTTTAAGGCGCACCCCTACTTCTACCATGGTCACATTTTTTCAACCACTTATCTGTTTTGATATGTTTTTAATTCCCTCTTTCTTTTTATTTATTAGGTTCTTGATCTAAGTAGAGAGCAGAAAGTAACGTAGATAGTATAACAACGATGTCTAACCCTCTTCCTATGCATTGGCATTGCATACAAAAATAAACCATTAACATAGAGGGAGAGCTGCATAGTAAAATTAGTTTCTTGCAATTTTAGTATGTTGGAGACATACTGGGGTCATTGCAAGAAGTGGCAGAAAACTTACAATAACATAATAAACAAAGATATTTTTTGTATGTGAATGTCATTCTATTATAGACCAATATTTTGATAAAGCATCACAATCACTCAACTAGTTTACACACCCTTAACATAATAACCCTCGAAATAGAAATACACAATGTGGAGATCATGACTACTTTAGGAAGCACTAGACATTTTACAACCGGATGTTACACATGTTGCAAAACTATACTCTAGATCATGTGATAGTTTCGGTTATCTCAATTTTTCAACAAGGGTCCATGTTACAGCCATGTTCTCAAGTAAAAAGACACGTGGACCTTCAGGAGGTCCGGGCCACAGGGTGTACCAATGCAAGCAGTTAAAGATGAGGATCGGACTATGCCTGTCCACCTGAGGGAGGTGATGAGTATTAACGGACTAGTGGACCTTGGACTGTCGATGAAGACTTGAGAGATCATGCGTGCTGGATGGCGAGCAGATGTGTTGATCTGTCAATGGTTTTGCGATTTTTCTTTTGCCTTATAGGAAACGGAGATTCTTTGCTATTATTTGCTACTGAACGAAATGGGGTAACAAGATGCACTTCAGTTCTGATGAATCGAATTTTCAACCTCGGTTACATTTTCAGGTCACTAACACACATATCTGGAAAACAGCTTTGGAGCTTTTGGCTCTGACATATATTACAGCAGCAAAACATATATGTCCAAAAAAGGTGGTGTCTATATGTGGAGTAACACCAAGTAACTGACCTAGTAGCCATACAACCCAAGAAAAACCAGGAAACATCAACATACTAGTACAATAGGCCCCAATACAATACAATACAATACAATACAAGAATATGACTATTTGCCAAAAAAACAACAGTTATGAAACAGGAATATAGCAGCAGAAACACACTATAGGCTCCACAGCATAGTCAAAATTAACTGTCAAAGGCATGGGCACAGTGGTTCCACACAGCCTGACTCCAACTCTGGTATCACTTCCCAAGCAACCGACGCCCCCGTTGGTTCGCACCTTTGACTCTGAAGTTGAGCTCATCAACGTCGTCGCTGAAAGTATCCAGTGATTTGTTTTGCCTGCAGCAAAGGAATGGTCTCCATCAAATATTGTAAGGACAGAGTGAATGTAACATCTTTTTACCATGCCCAACTGAAGAAATATTTTAAAGAGGTGGTACCTATCGATTTCTGTACCCATATCCAGTGCCATATCCTTCAGGTTTTCCAACATGTTACTCAAGTCTGCAAATGCATCGTCTTGCCTTGCTTTCTCAGCCTAATAAGATAAACAATGATAAGCTTCAGAACACACTAGCCCATTGTCCCTTCTATAGCTCTACTGAACTGACAAGACATACCTTAATTTTGTTCATCGCAGTTGCAGGCGCACTATGTACAGAACTGGGAAATTGTTGAGGTCTTGAGCCAATACCAAGATTCTGCCTCTGCTCCATTTGGTTCGTTGTACTCTTAAAAGAACTATCTGCAATAACCCAAAAGGATCAGCCGAGGAAAAATATATAGTCTCTGAAACTATTCAGAATCTGCACCACCATACTCTGTGAAACAGGGCCTTTTATATGTTGATTTCTCTTTGGCCTCCATGTCTTCGAAAATAGTCCTCCTAGACTTCCCAAAAGCTTCTCACTCTGAAGAAACATTCAGAATTTTTCGGTTAATGTTCAAAACAAGACAAAAATTGCTAACACAAACAGCAACTTAAACCTGTGTAGCCATAGAGGTTCACTCAAAAAGTTAAATGACATCAATTACTCTGAATCAGAAAGTTAAAATTTCCACACTAATATCTAATCAATAGGATGCAGAACCCTAATATGCACAGAGCTATTCTTATAAGTGGATTATAAAGCTATTCATCTCTAGTGTTTGATGAGGTGATGACTGAAATTAGGATCAATATATATGGAAATTCTATAAATCTTAACCCTGTTTTATGAGCAGTACCCAGAAGCTAACTTCAGTATGCCTGGGTTACCCAGTATCATAGAACTTACCATGGTAAGGTCGTGCTCGATGTCAGCCGCTACTCGATGAGTGTGAGTGATCTGTTCACCTTGTCGATGCAAAGTCAGAAGGATTTGTGTCGCATCTTCCCTAATAGCTTCGGCTGCCCTAACACAATCATTTGCTTTGCTTGAGGTTTCTTCTGCTTTACGTAGAGTGTAATCTTCCAATTCTTGCACAGATTGATTGGTGTGCTGTGTTGGAGCTGATTGTGCCCTTGATGGTCTTGAGGGCACTTCAGAATCAGAGTCAGAATCAAAGGGATTTGTCGTCCTACGGATAGGAGTGCTGACTGAGTTTTGCCTCATATTCATTGATACTGACATCTCAGTTTATTCACTACACACTGGAGCAATGGGCAGATCTCTGGTATGAAAAGCAAAGGAAAAGGGAAGCATCAGCAAGCGTTAGAGTTGTGAGGTGACTGTATTCTAATAGTCTCGACCAGAAAAATATTTACTAAAAAAGTGATCTCATATAGAAGATACACAATGAACGGTCACCATCCAAAAGCACATACAAAAGATCACTATGAATTAGAAATATAGCATCATACTGTAAATGAGCTCATCCAATCCAACAGATGTTTAGTAAACCAAGATGTAGTTGCAAAGAATTTTAGGCTCACAGATGTAATCATTTTATAAAGAAAATTATGAATCAGAGTGGTAACTGAGAATAAACAAAGCCCTGACTTGTTGAACTACTCTTTCTGATGCAAGGCCAATAAATTCCACAAAGCAGGAACAATAACTTATCATAAACATACACATAAAACCCTACATCATGATTATGAGCTTCTAAAAAATAAGTATTAACTCCTTCCCAGTAACAAAACCCCAACTGTTCTTTATGTACAACCTGTGAAACTAGCCAGGTCAGATCAAATTTCAATCAGTAGGGAAGGCAATGTGAACCTCAGGAAGTACATATGTGGCATTCCTAACAGAGCATCGAAACAAATACCCTTGACATTAATTTTATTGGGTTTCCTGCATTCATACACCAAAGAATATGTAATATTGCCTATCATTTGTCAAACGGTTGACAAACCAGACAAAAGGAAGCTCTGAATTAGTCGCATCAAATGTACGGCATCTGCAAGTGTCGAATCGATCAAACATTTAAGCGGGCACATGAACAGCAAATGTGAAGTTCGCATTTGGCGCCCTGCCCGTTACTCAGGACTACAGCATCACGGAACGATCTTGTAAATAAGCAATCCACATTTCTTAAGTAAAAAATAAATATAGCCCATATACTATTTCTCATAGAAATAGTGGAGTACAACAGTAGTACCCCAATCGCAATCTGAAGTCGAGCGACAGCTACCGCAAAAACTGGATCACGGATTCACCGCAAGCAAATCATACCACGGGCTCAAGTGGGGAGGAGCAGGAGGAGGAGGGCGGCGGCACCTCACCTTGCTGGGCCGGGTCGTCGGATCGGATCAGGGTGGGGGAGAGGATCAGATCTCTCCGGTGGCCTTCCGCCGCCCGATCTCGGAACCCTAGCTCTGCCTGACCGCCTCGTCTCCGTGGGGCGGGGGCAATGCTGCGTTGCGCGGCCGGGGGTGGGGACAAGGGGAGACGAGGAGGGGCAGGGCCGAGGCGGAGAGACGGCGGCGGCGAGATATCGGGTGGGTGGCGGTGCTAGGGTTTGGTCCCCGACACTGGCGCGGGGGGCGGGTAGGGGGCGCCTCCTGCTGTGCGATGGATCGAAGAAGGGAGGAGCCGCCTCGTAGTACTAGAAGGGAAGGGGAGTTTCAGAGGCGGATGAGATCGAGACGAGAGGAATATGACCGTTGGGTTGGGAGCGTCTCGTTCACGTGGGGATTTTTTTTTTCCTCTTCAGCTCTCTTTTTTCTTTCCGGGTAAAGAGGTGCTCCTGTTTTTTTTAAGGGAAAGCTCCTATTCTTTTGTTGTTGTTGTGGGATTCGGTGATTGTAATTTTTTGTTGATAGCTTACCAAGCTGACCACTTGTTGTTGTTGTGGGATTCAGCTTTGCTATTCTTTTGACTAAACCGATTACTGCAACGACGCACACAATCACATGCTGAGCAAGTGAAACAGCAGGCTTATTATCCGCTTACATGGCAATTTTGCCTATGTGAAGAAGAGAAGCGTGAAAATGTAAGAGGAGTGGACCCTTATATAAGAGCATAACTATATGCATGCTCCTAGCCAGATGCAATAAATGTGAAGAAAGAGATAGAGAGAAGATGAGAAGAATTACTAATCTTATAGCCAACCTTATATAAGGATGCGTGTATGTGAGCATATGTGTTTGTAGTGTGTTAGAAAAAACAACCTTAGAAAAGCTAAATACATACTACCTCCGTACCAAAATTTTTGTAGTTGGGGGAACTTGTAGAAGTATATTATATGGCTGATGTGTCTAGATTGTAAAAATAGCTGCGAAAGTTGCCATCCATGACAATTGACAAGTTAATGCACCATGGCAACACTATGCCTATTTTTTATGGATGTAAATTTTCCAAGGTCCAGTAGAAGTAATTTGCCATAGCCTCAAATTTTAATTTGCCATGACATCTAAAATTCAATGTAAGAATGAAAAGAAAAGTTGCAGATTGTTCAGAGTGTCAACACAAAGATGTGATACACCACAAAAAAAAATGCCATGATATGAGGCATAAAACTGCCATGTTTTGAGAAAAAAAAACTAAACATAGAGTCGCCATGGTGTGTTGTTTTTTTGACCAACAAAGAGCTTAGCTTGCTCGGGCTGCAGTGGGCCCGCTCACCCCCCGTCGCTCCCCGCGGGCGGCGGCGGGCAAAACCCTAGCTCGAGCCAACCCCTCCCCCCTCCCCTCCCTCGTCCTCTCCTTCCCGGGCGGCGTCGACGGCAGCGGGATCTCTTGTCCCCCTCTGATGCGGTCTTCAGCGCGGGTTGCGGGTTAATCTCGGGGGCGCCTAGCTACCCCGGGTGACCCTTGCCCGGATTTGGAGCCGCCAGATCTGGCGAGGTGGCGGCGGCGGCCCCGGCCGACATCGACCGGGGATGAGGGGATGGCTACCGGGGAGTTACCCCCTTGTTGTGTGGCTGTCCCCTTATGCCCATAGCTCGGCTTGTCGGTTTTCCCATTTCCTTGTTGAGGTGGGCGTGGATGGCAGATGGGTGGTGGCCTAGGCTCCTGTGACGGCATGGTGGTTCGGCGGGGTAGCAATGGGTGGTTGCATGGGCCACCAGTGCGGCTGTAGCTGCCCTAGCAGCAACGGTTTATGGTCGGTGGCGGGGTGCAGTTGGCGGTGGTACCTGATACGTCTCCAACATATCTATAATTTTTGATTGTTCCATGCTATTATATTACCTGCTTTGGATGTTTAATGGGCTTTAATATGCTCTTTTATATTATTTTTGGGACTAACCTATTAACCGGAGGCCCAGTGTCAGTTTTTGTTTTTTTGCCTATTTTAGTGTTTCGCAGAAAAGGAATATCAAACGGAACGAAACCTTCGCGAGGATCTTTCTTAGAACAAACGCAAACCAGGAGACTTGGAGTGGAAGTCTGGAACTCCGTGAAGCTTCCACGAGGCAGGAGGGCGCGCCCCCACCCTTGTGGGCCCCACGGAGCTCCACCGACGTACTTCTTTCACCTATATATACTCTTATACCCTAAAACTTCAGGGAGAGCCACGAAATCACTTTTCCACCGCCGCAACCTTCTGTACCCGTGAGATCTCATCTGGGGCCTTTTCCGGTGATCTGCCGGAGGGGGATTCGATCACGGAGGGCTTCTACATCAACACCATAGCCTCTCCGATGATGTGCGAGTAGTTTACCACAGACCTTCGGGTCCATAGTTATTAGCTAGATGGCTTCTTCTCTCTCTTTGGTTCTCAATACAAAGTTCTCCTCGATGTTCTTGCAGATCTATTCGATGTAATACTTTTTTGCGGTGTGTTTGCCGAGATCCGATGAATTGTGGATTTATGATCAAGTTTATCTATGAATAATATTTGGTTCTTCTCTGAATTCTTATATGCATGATTTGATATCTTTGCAAGTCTCTTTGAATTGTCGGTTTAGTTTGGCCTACTAGATTGATCTTTCTTGCAATGCAAGAAGTGCTTTGCTACCTCTTGAGCACTGCGTTGGTTTTCCCCGAAGAGGAAGGGATGATGTAGCAAAGTAGCGTAAGTATTTCCCTCAGTTCTGAGAACCAAGGTATCAATCCAGTAGGAGGCTACGCGCAAGTCCCTCGTACCTACACAAAGCAATAGCTCCTCGCAACCAACGCGATAAGGGGTTGTCAATCCCTTCACGGTCACTTACGAGAGTGAGATCTGATAGATATGATAAGATAATATTTTTGGTATTTTTATGATAAAGATGCAAAGTAAAATAAAAGCAAAGGAAATAACTAAGTATTGGAAGATTAATATGATGAAGATAGACCCGGAGGCCATATGTTTCACTAGTGGCTTCTCTCAAGAGCATAAGTATTTTATGGTGGGTGAACGAATTACTGTTGAGCAATTGACAGAATTGAGCATAGTTATGAGAATATCTAGGTATGATCATGTATATAGGCATCATGTCCGAGACAAGTAGACCGACTCCTGCCTGCATCTACTACTATTACTCCACTCATCGACCGCTATCCAACATGCATTTAGAGTATTAAGTTCATGAAAACAGAGTAACGCCTTAAGCAAGATGACATGATGTAGAAGGATAAACTCATGCAATATGATGAAAACTCCATCTTGTTATCCTCGATGGCAACAATACAATACATGCCTTGCTGCCCCTACTGTCACTAGGAAAGGACACCACAAGATTGAACCCAAAGCTAAGCACTTCTCCCATTGCAAGAAAGATCAATCTAGTAGACCAAACCAAACTGATAATTCGAAGAGACTTGCAAAGATAACCAATCATATATAAAAGAATTCAGAGAAGATTCAAATATTGTTCATAGATAGACTTGATCATAAACCCACAATTCATCAGTCTCAACAAACTATTGGGGAACGTAGTAATTTCAAAAAAAATCCTATGCACACGCAAGATCATGGTGATGCATAGCAACAAGGGAAGAGTGTGATCTACGTACCCTTGTAGACCGACAGTGGAAGCGTTAGCACAATGCGGTTGATATAGTCGTACGTCTTCACGGCCCGACCGATCAAGCACCGAAACTACGGCACCTCCGAGTTCTAGCACACGTTCAGCTCGATGACGATCCCCGGACTCCGATCCAGCAAAGTGTCGGGGAAGAGTTCCATCAGCACGACGGCGTGGTGACGATCTTTATGTACTACCGTCGCAGGGCTTCGCCTAAGCACCGCTACAATATTA